CATGACGCGGAATGCCTTCTTCAATCCCTGCCCTCCACCATTTGGTCCCTCCTAACACCTGATCTTCCATTAGGAACATCCTGAAAGCCTTCAAGAAGGAAGATTCGGGCTCGTGAGCTGTGAGCCACCTACGATGTGTGGTCAAGCATTTTGCTGGCCGCTCATGTTCTATAGTTTTCGGGGTTGTTGCGGTTGAATGGCAAAAACGCCAAAAACCCAAGTTTAGCAAATTCAGTCTGGCTCGTGGACTACCACGTGCCTGTGGGAGTCATCGTAAAGGCTTAGCATGTGCTGCGCACGTGATGCTGGTCGATGCAATCGAGGGATAAAGGTCAATGAGCTTGCCACTGTAACATGGCCAATCATCTCGACCTTTCATGTGTTCCCAAGTCCGTCCCTGTACCAAAACCCCACTCCCATAAAACCCAGTGAAACAACCGGCCCTGATCAATTGACGTTGAACCTTTGCCAGGTGACCGCACGAAAGATGACAAGAAGACCTGCAATGTCCTGCGGAACTGCGCACGCTTCATCGGAAATGGGGCCGGGAACCCCATCTATCAGAGGTGCATTCGTTCATGCAAACCTCACCTCTAGATCGCAGTGGTGAAGCTCTCAAGCTGCATATTTCATGTGCATGCATTAGTAGCGTCGGGCATATTTTCTATATCTAAAAGGAAACCACAAGCACACAAAGTTGGATATTCTGATGAGCCATGGCACTGGAAGAAGAGGATGACTTCCTCTTAGATCTCCTGACCTATGTGTGCCCCGTTAGTGGCAAAAAACGCACTGCTGGCAACTTTGACGTGAACCTGCCACACCCAAAAGTCAAATGCCCGAGTCTTGTTTGAAAGCAGTTTGTGAGGAATGGCAAAGAAGCTTTACTGTCGATGTATATACCTTGAACCGTTTGGAAACCAAGGAAGGTTGCAATGACTTGGGAGGACGAGAACCTGTACCAAGACTACTTTGATCGCGGTCTAGAATGCGCCAACCCTCCTGCTCCAAGATCTTGCCAGGTGCCCATCGCAGGTGAACCTTGGTCCAAGCTGTATGTCCAACCAATGTGTGTTTCGCATCTATTGAAATGGGTGACCAAGGACAAGCATGATCTCCCTCAACTATTCCAGAGTCTTGGGGAGGCGTTCAGCTATGATAGCTTTGATTGGGGCAAAGCAAGCTCGAATGGATTGTTTAACAAATGCATGCCGTGTGACAAGAAACATTTGCCCACGGCTGGGAGGATTCTTTCTCATGCAAAAAAACAAGTAACAGCCCTCAGAGAAAAAATAGGGATCCGTATTTGCATCTTCAAAGTTGGTGTGACCAGCAATCCACCTGTTCGATTTGCCAACTACCTTGCAGAAGGCTTCACTACCATGTGGGTGGTTTCAAAGCATGAGTCTTTGAACCTAACACACATGCTGGAGGCAGCCTTAATTAGCGAATTCCACCAGCATGTGGGTTGCAGAAACCGTGCTGAATCAGGAGGGGATGGATCGATGCATCGGTTTCCCCCTCCATATTTCTGCTATGTTGTTGCTGGTCGCGCTGACCAGCCACGGTGGGTAGGATAACACGTGACCCCTAGGATGCCGGAGACAAAGTGGGTAAAAAGTGGTGTCTGTCTGTGTGCGCGCATGTTCTTTGCCATTGGGTTGCCATTGGAGTTTGCACGTTTCTTGTTTCTGCTGGCGCGCGGCCAAGGTCCCATGCTCCCATGTTGTTGAGATGGCGAAGGCGCAGGTGGAAAGCAATCCACACGCAAGCCCTGCGTTGAAAGAGTTTGCACGCATCCGGCCTGAAGATGCTGAGACGGCATGCCATGAGGTGTTGACCAAATATGGTTTTAGTGTGCCCATTCCAGTTGAGACTTTGAACATTGGACCTGGTCAATTGAAGGCCTGCCCTTTCGTTCGTCCTAGTGCATGGGCGACGTACTTACTCAACAAAGGCATTTTGCCGAGGCAGTTAGTGGGGGTGGCAGATCGTGCACAAATGGAGGAAACTTTGAGGGAACATTGGAAACGGTACCAGGTCCTCTTTCCAAACCATCCGATCTTCCGGCTAGCGCTGGAGGGGACTGTGCAGCTTCAGCGCTGCGTTCCAATTCTGTCGCATAGCGACGAAGGCAGATCGACGAAGCACCTACCGCTGTTCGTCATGAGTTTCCACGGAGCTTTGGGGCGGGGCACGCAGTTGTATGTGCAGAAGCAAAAGCATCTTGCACCGCTTCATCGACGACAATTTGGCCTCAATTTTCTTGGACAATCATGGGGAACACAATTTTTGTGCTTTGCCATTCTGAGAGAAATGGTTGATGATAACCCTGATGCTTTGAAAACGTTGATTCAACACTTTGCAAGGGACTTTCAGCAACTTGCAGAAGAAGGAATTGTGGGTGATGATGGGTACAGAGTCTGGCTGATCCACATATCGACGAAAGGTGATCTCCCTGCGCTCACCAAACTGTCGAACTCAGGCCGCTCATTTTGGCATGTTGCGAGGGCTGCGACATCCCGCAAGCCTTGTGATGGCATATGCCATTTGTGCAAAGCGGGTTCAGAGAAGCCTCCAACTCCGTATCCTTTCGAGGATTTTTCCCTGAGCCCCAAATGGGCCGCTACGCTATATGATATCCCCTGGGGTCAGTTGCCACCCATTTTGGAAGGAGTGCTAGTGCAACCTGGTTCTTTGCCCGCGTTCTTCAAAATAGACATCTGGCACACTTTTCATTTGGGCATAGCAAAACATTGGATTGCTTCTTCGTTCATCTCGTTGATTGAAAGACTGGACGATTTCCCAAGTCTTGACGGGGGGTCTGTGGATAGCAAGCTGGCCTGGATGGCCCAAGACTTTGCTAGTTTTTGCAAGCAGAACAGAATTTCACCTCATTCTAGGGAGATCTCCCGGCGTTCACTCTCCTTTCCTGCGAGTTCAGCCTGGCCAATAGCAACATGGAGCAAGGGTTCGATGGCAACACACCTGATGAAATATTTGGAGAATTTGTGTTCAAGATTTGTTGTGGGCAAAACGCAGGATGAGGTACTTTGTCGCATTGCCCCTCAGTGAATGCCAAGCTTACTTTTTGTCCTATAGAGTTGTGGAAGTCCTTCCTTTTTGTTGTGTGTTCTTTAGAAACTGAACATCATCGAATGCTTTGCTAATTTTTTGCTGTCAGGAAAGAGGGACCTACTTCATGAACACCGCCATCAGCTTCATGTACCGGTCAGGGTATTGGATCAGAGCTTCGTGTGGTCACAAGCTAGCGATGTGGCTTCTCTACTTTTTGCAATCTTATGGTACTTGCGCCAAAATCTGTTTGCGAGAAGGGAAGTGCCGCTTCAGCCTGATTCCGAAAACCCATTCCCTCCACCATGTGATTTGGGAACTTCAAGCCCAAGCAGAGAAAAATGTTTGGATTGAAAACCCTCTAGCGTTTTCAGTGCAAATGCAAGAGGACTACATCGGTCGTCCATCACGCCTATCAAGGCGTGTGTCCGCCAGACAAATGATTCGGCATGTTGTTGATAGATCTCTTGTATGTTCCATGCTCGCTTTAGAGGACACCAAAACGGATATGCGAGGACTTGTTTGAAGCAACCGCTATTTTCCATAGTCTACAGGCACATGGATAAAAAACAACCAAGGAATACACATGCTTTCAGCATATCCAGAGTAAAAGGCCTGCTCTCAAAGGGCACTAAGGCGCTGACCGATTCGCAGGATCTCTGGTCGCTTCTGCTAAAACAGGAGCCGTCACGGCAGCATGGGCTGCTTTGGCTTTGGGTGGGGGTGGATGGCTGGATTTGGATTCAGAAGCATTGTTTCTTTCACATCCCTGAGAAAACACCAAAACATGTGAAATGCATAAAAGGACGTAAAATATAGAAAGGTACGTAATTCTGTGAAAAGACCAATTTCTGAATCAAAATCTGGGTAGTACCTAAAACGGAGGGTCTTTGAGGACCCAGGTATATATACTTATAATATCTTATAATCTCAATACGTTTACCAGGACCTTTCAAGAGGTGTCTATAAATAGTCTCTTGGAGGTTAAGGGGTGTCCAAAAGGTTCTGGTACATACATTTTACAACATGTATGACCCTAATGGAAGTCCATGCATGGATGGTTTGTGTCACGTGAAGCCATGTGTTTGGAGGAACATGTGGATTCGTTGGAACATGTTTTTGGGGACTACTTTTTTGGGCTTCAGCTCAAGCGCGGGTGTCTATTGGGAAGTCATTGGGGTCCTTTTGGTACTTGGTGCCAAAACAAAATCATACCACATGTTGACACTCCCCAGACACTCCATGTATGCCATATATGCCTACATTGGGGTGGTTTTGGGGGGTCAATTGATCGGCATATATGGCAGTCTCATGAAGTGTCTGGGCTCCATGTCTGGCATCTTACGCAAACGGTATATATATATATATTTCTTTTTTCAACACAACCCGGATGCAGAAGGAGTTCGCCAAACAAACTCACCCGCCGCCCGCAGTACGAGCCAGAACCAGGACGAGTCTGATATTATTTGTTAAAGACCCCAAGAAGGACTTGCTGGACGACTCGCAGGGTACTTTGACACCCCCTATAGCTCTGACTCACTAACATGGAAGTGGAATAAACCCACCTGTTTGTAGAGGAAAATGCGGGCTATGTCCACTTCCATGGTGGTTCCAAATCCATGGTTCCAATCTAATCCAGACACGACCCAATATTTACCATTGACTTACACGCAGAAGTACGCGCAGATTGACCCCTTTTTCAACCACCCCAATTCTGTACATATATCGTATTCCTAGATCTTATTTTAGACCACCAACTAGGCAAAATGTGTGCTCTTGTTTTCCTATTAAAACAGCGGCCACATTTGAACAAAAACAACATATGTGCCAATGCTCCGGTTTTTTTTTCGAAGAAGACTCCTTCTCCCTCAGCCTCCCCAGATGGATCCCGGAGTTCGACGCCACGCTCTGTCGCTGGAAGCGAGGTTTCGGATCCTTCGTCCCCTGCGCTCCTTGAACGCGGTGCCCCAGATGAAGGCCGGCCGGTCGGGCGGGTCCGCCGGTCGGGCGGGTCCGGTCCCGGTGGGTGCAGATTCGTGGGATCTGGCGGTTGGAGGTCCGAAGGCGGGTTTGGATGCTACAGGATCCAAATTTGAGATGATTAAGCTGACCTAATCCGCCGTTTTAAATGAGGACGGTCTTCCATCCGGACCAACCCAGGTGGTTCCGGATTGTCCAGCTGCCAGACTGGTGAAAAGGTGGGGGTTGGAAAGCGTAGCGCCACAAAATGGGTGTGGGTCATGGCACCAGGGTACCTTCCTTGGTTGACCTATATCTGGAAGGTCAAACTACATGGTGTGGGTGCTCCAGGTTTAAGCAATTTTAAGCCCATGTCCAAACGGACATGTTGTTTGGACCCCAACTCATATACGATAATGAATCCCCACTGCGGGGTGGTTGGGAATTCTAATCCACGTGCGGCTGCTCATGTGGTTCATTTGCCCCACCCCAGACTATCCAGCAATGAAACGGTCCCAACGGTCCCAGCGACGGTCCCAGCGGTCCGCAACGGTCCCAGCGATCTCTTCAAGTCGAATCGCTCGTTTGAATCTTCCAACGACCGAACATGTGGCCCAACAGATCTTAGCGCAACAGGCCAAGCTCGCCACGCTCTCCTTAAAATGTTGGTTGGTAGTTTGTGTCATTGATCCAGTTTTCAGCGCAGTGGCAGCACGCCACACATCAGCGCAAAGGATCAAACGACTTGCATGTTTTGCGCAGCACACACGTAACAAGCCTGCAAATAACACATGATAAGCAAAGCCACCAAAAGGACCAGAAAACCAAGGCAGAATGAACGGTTCGGTAATCGGAAGGTCCAGGTTATTGTCGCATTTTTGTCATACGTGATCGGAGCATGAGTGTCTTTCTGGCTTGCATCACACCTGCAGAAAAGAACACAATCGTGATCACCTGTGGGTATCTTTGCCTACCGCAGAAACACACAACAAAAACAAACTGTTTGACGGGCCGTTTTTGCGGTGAGCGTTTCGATGCCAGGTGTTGGTGAACACCGTCTTAAGCTCGATTCCTCGGTTGGGCCGGGAGACCAAGAAGGACACGGCGGCAGAAAAGCGTGCGAAGAAGGAAACTGGTGAAGCGCAGGAAACTCGGAAACTCGGATGTGGAGATGGGTGGCCCGGGATGCAAGTAAAAAGCAAAGAGGGAGAGGCAGAGGGGGGTGGTCTTGTGGAATCTGGGAATCAGGTGGAGCAGTGATCAGCTTGAGAATCAACAATCCAACAGGATGTCCATTTGGCAGCAGTCAGCGTGGAATTTTCATATTAATATATTATATATACAGTATATGGAGAGAGAGATATAGATATGATAATAAATGATAATTATATGACACCATTCTGATTGTGCTGGTGTACAGATTTGCCTATGGATCCACATAATATATCGTACCTTCTCAGAGACAATTTTGTAGGCTTGGAGGGTCCAAGTTCCTTCTGAAAAGAGATTTGGATTTTGAACGTGCACCTATAGATTCTATAGTTTCTTTTCTGAGCTTCACTGGGCCCTGGGTTGACTGGCGGTATCTTCTCCAACCCCCACCAGCAGGTGCAATGTTTGTCCCGCCGCAGGTAACGTGAGTATCATGGCGGCCTTCCTCTTCTGCACCTTTGGCATCTTAGGCCACAGATGAGCCGATCCAATTGCTGCCGAGACGGGGAGGGTTCAAGATAGCTTTCCAAAATTGGACTTCAAAGTCGCGTTTCCGAGGCCCCTTCAATGTGGCACACTGTTGACGTTTGTTCAAGAAGTGCAATCTTCCCTACGCGTCTATATGGATAGAATGGAGAATAACTGGAGGGAATCTATATAATAAACTATATCCCACACACTCCATGTCTGTCATATATGCCTACATTGATCCCCCAAACCACCCCAACTGATCGGCATATGGCAGTCACATGGAGCGTCTGGGATATGGAATCTTTGACTGTCGATTCGCTTGGCCGCCTGGATGTTGCTCCGGTCCTGACGGGGGCCGTCAGGCATGTCCTTGTTCAGCGGCGTGTTTTATCGAAGCCGGGGGGCCTGGAAGCCGTCAGTGTGGAATGCCGTCAGTGTCAAGATCAGTGGAAGTGGATGTCAGTGGATGTGGGTTGAGTTGACAAAGGTCACACCCATGCCTTCAAGCCTTCAAACAGCTCCACTGGCCATTCAAGAAATGAATGTGACTTCAACAATTCAGATCCTGTCAAGCGCCCCGGGCCTGCCACCGGGATCCTGTCAAGCGCCCCGGGCCTGCCACCGGGAAAAAGGGCGGATCTAACTCTTATTCTTGAGAGCCCGGTAACCATCCTGAACCAACAAGAACATACACAAACAAGTTCCTTGCACCATCTGGCCACAAGATCTATTGTTCTTTTGTTCACCCCAAACACATCAAGACTGTCCGATCCCGCACATCAAACCTGCGGCTGGGGTGGACCTGCCGCTTGTCTCTTCCAATCTGCTGAACACCTAGTTTAAATATGTTTAAATGTGTACTGCAGGGTGATTCCTCTTTCCCCGAACTGGGTGAATCCTCATACTATCCTCATACTATGTGTTTGCCTGTGTACCGGAGTGTGCTGGGCTCGCGACATTGGGTGACCCTGACACGGGCTGCTGCGGTCAACATACCAGGGTGAAACGGGCTCCAAGTTTTGATCCACAGCCACATTCACCCGGGAAAACCAACCCCGTAGATAAAAACATCCATATGGAAAAGGTTTTTTTTGTTTCTTTCAGGTTTCTTCCTTCCGAAACCCTCCACCAGGGCCCCCGGTTTGGGGTAAGAGACACCCCCAATTCCCCTCTAAGGAGCTATTTTTGATCCAAAGACAGCCAGTAAGCTTCTACCTCTACACGGCCTTCTCCATGCCGAAACCGGGGGACCCTGGCAGTTCTCAGGTTGCCGCCGCTTCGCTCAGCCATTGCTCCTGGGCTCCAATGGCACCGAGCCGCTCAGATCAAATTCTGGTGACAGTCACTGGTGGCGGCTGGAAACGTAACATGGGACTCCTGAGACTTCAGACTCCGAACGTGGATGAAGGGTGGTTGGATGCCTTTACGACCTCTGGTCTGGTGGTTTCTTTCTGGATAGATACTGAAGGAAGGGATTCGGCAGGAAGACCTCCAACTTGGGGATACGGGAATCTCCAAGCAGCTCTGCCACACCCAAAGGTTTAATGACCATTGCCCATGCAGGTCTTACAGTACTGGTATTCTATGGTATTCAAGGTCTATGTAAGAGACCTTTGCTTCGCTCTTGAAACACTAGGTGACGGAGCCCAGACCATCCATGTGACTCGAGTAAGACATACATTGACCTGCAATGTTGTATACAAAATGTTCTGTCCAATCATGTGCATAGTCCAACATACATGGTGTCCAATCATATTAACCTGGACCCCCAGTCGGGGTGGTAGACATGGACACCCCGAACGACCTCTTTTCGGGGCTACTAATGGACACCTGGAATCCGTGGTGCTGGAACATATATATATATATATATATCCCAGATGCTCCATGGGACTGCCATATCTGCCGATCAATTGACCCCCCCAAACCACCCCTGGCCTGATCGGCAGTGGAGCGTCTGGGTCTAGATGTTGGTCATCCCGGACGGTCTTCAGCACCACCGGACAGCACCACCGGACGAGCGCGCCCAGGTGTTGGTCTTGGCCCCAGACTGGAGAGATGAGGTTCGACGTCGTGGCGAAGCGCTCAAAAGCGCGTTTCGGTTGCGGTGGCGTTTTCGGTTGAGGGTGTTGCATCAGTGAGGTTAAGGGGTGAACTATAATAATGCACTATAAATAACTATTCACCCCTCCAGGGGGGGTCATGGTAGAATTAGATGTTAGTTTTCTTATCTGGGACTGGGCGACGAGTTGCTTGGCGCGAAGATGGAACTTGTGTCTTGTTACTTGCGCCGCTGTACCTGGGTACACAGCTGCGGGCCTAATGGTGTGGACCAGGTTGAAGCAAATTGTTTTTGGTACCTACTAATACCAGCATCTCCTTGATTCAAGGGTGGTTGGGTGCTGGCAGGTCTCAATGGGTGAGCTGTTGGAGGGTCTTTTGGACAGTTCCTGATCCCAAAATAGAGGTCACTCAGGTTCTATAGATCTTCTAGGAATAGGGACAACCCTTCTTTGAACCAAACCGAACCCAGCCGAAATTCCCATTCGGCGGTCAAGGTTTCCTCAAGCCACAGGAAACAAAGCATTGTCTCCAACCTAATGTCCAGATCAGGGTTACATCCTGATCCTGATGGTTCGAAAGCCCAGAAAGCCCAAACGGTCGTCCTACCAAATCCCCAGTGTGCTGCATGACCTCGCGCCAGCCAGGCTTTGCGGAGGACGATATCTTTGTGAGGCCCGGTTGGCAGTCGGTTTGAGGGTTGGGGGGGGTGGCCCAGGAAAGTTTCTGTGATATGGTTAGGGTACTTGGAGCTTCCTGACGGGGGTGTGCAGTGTTCGGGGAGAGGGTTTTTGGTGCTCCATAGTGCTCCGGTGATGGGTTGTTAGGAGTTGTTCGGGAGGGAAAACATGATGCCAAGGATGGTTTCTATGGAGCCAATGGAGGTCTAGGTGTTCTCATTTTCCAGCCAGGTTAGCATATGCCCAACCACCTGGCCAGAATCAACTATTCCCTCACTGGCATGGGAATGGACGAGCGAGTAAGCACAGTTTGGAACAAGTCCATCCCCCATGTCACTATTTATCCCAAGCATAGGGTTTCCGTGTCGGAGAATCCCCAATTTGGGGAGTATGTTTGTTAAGCTATGATTCCTATATATCAGCAAATCCAAGCAAGAGAGTGTCATGCTTCAGGGTTTATCCCACGATTTTGGGCCCTTGGCGAGCTGGGGAATCCAGACCCCCCGTGGTGGAGCAGTGATGTGCAAGTGAGCTTTGAGAGAAGATGGCTGGTTCGAGAGTAGTGCTGAAGCGTTTTGGAATTGAACAGTCATGGAACCTGCACGTGCTCTACAGTATCAACATGCCATGAAGATCAACACTGCTTTGAAAGGTAGCTACTTCACCCAAAACATGCCAATCCCACAGATCTCAAGGATGTGTAAAGTGCCCATTTGTAGTCTTATCTAACCCGTGCTTTCAATGATCTTGTGGGTTGAAGGCTTTGGCCCCAAGAGGACAGCTTGGCAACCAAGTCCCCTAGACTCTTTACAGAAGGACAGCCCGAACCTTCACACACTGTGCAGCATTCTGTCTTTATGGGTGTGCCAGGCAGATTGTCCGCATCTCTTGCTGAACAACTCCTAACTCAGTTCTCAGAGAGAAAGACACTGAGGTGTCACTGTTCTTGAGAGAAAGAACGACTGGACTCTTTGCCTAACAATGGATGAGTTGGTTTGTTCAGATACTTCAAGGGTCAGTGTTGGAAAACATCAGTCCCATGGATTGTGGGGGTAGTACTCATCTCCTGATCGATGCGCACCAGGGCGCACGAAATCCCTCCGAGCCACAAAAAGCACCCTCGAACCCACTCTACTACCCGTCCCCTAGCCCCTCACATCCCCTCACCTTTCTCGCACCACTTCCACGACTCCTCCACCCCACCGGTTCGATCCCGTCCTCCCGCACGGTGGCGAGGACAGCCCTTTGGGTGAACAGGGCCACTGTGGTGGACATCCGGCAGATCCCAACGAGCTCTTTCGTGGCTCGGACGAGGGGGACCGGGCCGTGCGGGCCATGGTGTGGAGGGCGGGTGGAGGGGGGTGGTGGAATGTTACTGCAAAGAAAGTACTTGTAGTTTGGAAGGAATATTCCTCACCAGGAATCCAAACAGGATACTACCCCGGGACCATTCTGGTAGATATTTTCTTGACATATGCAGACTTCTTGAGGTGGCCCAGCTGAAGGAAGCCGAAGGATCACAGGAATTGAGTCATCACTTGGGTGGACCCAGCCATTCGATGTACTACGGCGCTAATAGCGCCAGGACGACTCAGACCGGTCCGCCCCTCTTTCCGACTCATACCGGCGGCCACGCCGCCCGTGAGTAATCCAATCCAATCAGGCAAGATCCCTTTTTTCAGCAATGATCCAAGAGTTTCTGACACACAGATACTATATACATGCAAGCCTATGTGAAAAATATCGTTTATCTTGTTCTTTTGTGAGGAAAGGGATGTCAATGGGAGGGGTGACAATGGGGCTCCCTACTTGGGCTCCCTACTTGGATGAATGACTTGTCATAGTACTCCCCAAACCACCCCAACTGATCGGCATATATGGCAGTCCCATGGAGTGTCTGGGGTATGTCAGACGTTCTCCACTTCTTCCTTTGCCACGTGGCACCCCGCTTTCAGGTCCAAGCTTCGAAGGGGGACAGTCCGGGGCGCCGTCGCGTTGTCGCGCCGTCGCGGTCGGTGGTCGGTGAGATCACGGTCGCCGTGTGGTGTGGAGGAAAAAGCAGATGAAGAGCATCAGGACTTATAAGCTACTAGGAACAAGTGCCTTACTAGTAGTAACAAGAAGCTAGGGTAGACTTTCAAAGTCGCATTCCACTGGTCTTTTCTGCCGCGAAACAATCTTTTTTTGAAAGACGGGGTTAGCATCCAAATCAATTAAATGTAAGAACAAGTCGGCTACAATGACTGAGTAGGCGAGTAGGTATTTGCTGCATAGAAATGTTGTCACTTTCTTAGGGTTGCCTGTTGTTCATGGAGCTTTGGTTCCCAATGTGGGGTTATGTTCCATCAGTGGGTGTGAAGTAGCATCGCATGGCCACGCGTGGAAGGGCAAAGGAACTCTGTGCCATCCGGAGGTCTTGGACATGTGTCATGAATAGCTGGAGCAAATCAAAAGGAACATGGAGCTGTCTGGATCGTGCTCCTGGGGCTTCTTTTCAATTCCAAACCTCTTCAGACTCCAAACATGTTCAAGTCTTCCAAGCCTTCAGGGTGAACCAGCAAACCCGCACCACGCTTTACCAAAACAAAACGCAGGGATATGTTGCACAGCATCATGTCCGACTCAGGGTGAGGATTCATATGTGCGTTATTATACATGTGGTTTTGTGTTGATTGTTTGTTGTGATTGCTTTCATGGAGGATTGTGTTTTCACATGTTTATTCTATATGATTTTCTTGTTGACCTGTGGTGCAGAGTTGGTACAGTTTGACCTAGGTTGGAGGTTTGGTATCTGGTGAGCATCAGATTACCCGGAAACATGAAATATCCTCCATCACTTCCATTCCCAGGAGTGGATACAAATCACTAGCTATCACAAGGAAATTGATCAGGGTATATATAGTTATATATATAATTATAACTAATCAGGGTCCCCTACTGAGTTCGCAACATATTTCCCGAATAAATTCATCACGTGTCTGAAATACGCCTTAGGAAAGACAGACCTTTTACTGTAATCGGGAAGCAAGAACAAATTCTGGCCGGCCTCAAGATTGCCCAACTGATCGTGCATCAACAAGGGGGCTGGTTAACTGCTGCAAGATGAGGTAGAAACACTGAAATAGAATCATAGAGGGTTAGGGAGGAGTTAACTGCTAGTGAGATAATAAGTATCTTGTAGATGCTGTGCGTCCCTGACCTCTGTCTGTGCTGCAAGGAAGATGCTCAGAAAACACGTGAACCATGATATGTTTCGATCTGCTATGTACTGTGTAAATGTTTATGTCTATAATTACGTATACAGTATGCTTCCAACATTGTGACCAAAGAGCAACGAAACAAAAAACATCAGTCTCGTGTGCAGTGCAGAGAATAGTCACACTCGTTTTCTATTTTTCCGTGGTGTTTGTTGTTTGTTCCTGCCTTGAGTCAATATCGATTGTAGGGAGGTTGACACTTGCTGTTTGCTGAACAGCTGACTCTGGAGGTGTCAGAGTATCTATTTTTACAATCAAACCACAAGCTTCCGTGCCCGGAAGTAACACCCTCGGCGTCAGAACTCAATTCGCTCCGTTGAAGAACTGTTGAAGCGGATCAACCACAAAAAGGGTCCGTTTGTGTCCCGATCCTGAGGGTGAGGGTACGAGGTAAACTGCTGGCAAGTGATATCCGAAAGATCAAGCTCTTCGGACATTTCAAACCCAATATGTGTTCCTGAAATGCCCAATGTTTGACGATAGGGATGCCAGGCATGCCCTTACAGATCCAGCCACGACACCATTTCGCATCTACCTTTGACCCCGCGGCCGGCTTGAATGGCGGCCACCTTGATTCGAGTTCGAATCCGGGCACTGAGGCGTGGTTTTCCGTGGTGTTCAGGCTCAGAGCCCTTGAAGGCCGAGCGTTTATGCTCTGCTTTCTGTGCTTTGTATGGTGCAGACGTGAATTGGTGAGTGCTCATACTCATACTGTGAAGAGTGGGAGATCAGGAGATACCTAGACCATGAGTGAGCTCTATTTTGGATCACCAGCCACTACTATATAAAAGATTCAAAACAGGGATGACATGGATTCTATAGGTAGAGAATCATGTTCATCCTGAAAAAGAGTACCTGGGAAGGAGATTTCGCCATGGTCCTAAGTGAGTCATACCAGGGCATGAAACCGGCTGAGTTCTTGTGAACCACACTCGAGACACTCCCTATCTCGTGTTGCTTGAAATTTGAAGAGAAATGTGACACCACAGAAAAATGAGGAACAAAGAACACACATGCTCACACACACACACACCCAGCATGCAGTACCCATTCCAGTCCGAGATCTCTTTCCGTGTTTGTCTTCATCACGACCCGTCTGTGGGCCCAGTCAGACCGCCAGGTCTTTCCGGAATCGGAGTGGATTTCCTTCGACAACCTGGGTGCCCGCAGATGACGTCTGGAGAGGGAGGGACAGTGGCCTTTAGACTCCAAGCAGGTGACGAAAGCAATGCGACCCCTTGGTGGCCGCTGGTCGACCAGGGGTGAGAACCCAAGAGCAAAAGCTGATTTGGTCGCTATATATATATATAATCCTAACAATCCGTAGGGGCTCTATATATAATCCTAAGAATCCGTAGGGGCTCTCCATGGCAGGGGTCGGACCCTCCATTGCAGGGGTCCGGGCCCGAACCAAACCCTATCTGTTGGTTAGGGCCCGGATTCTTAGGTAATGATATATGACATCAAGGGATTCCATCTTTTCCATGCAAAACCACTTAAAAGGTCGGCTTCAGAAGATTCCACCGGGCGCAGGGTCACTGTAACTAACGGGTCTCTTCCTTTACGCGAACACGGCTTCGCCCGCGAAGCCGACCTGTTCCGCGAGACCGACTAACTTGGTTTGAGACCCTTTTCTCCTCAGGTACGGCTTTGATCACCATCTTCCAGTGCATGACCGTTGAGGGCTGGACCGACGTACCGCCCGCCGGGTTTTCGAAACAGCGCGGTACGGTGAGCGGTACGGTACGTTCCGGGAAAGCGGTATAGGCTGTGTTAACAGGTTTTATTTGTTTCTTGTTTTTCATGGGGATCCTGGAATAGAGTCATTGGGCGGTTGGGATGGTTGAGGAATAACACATAATATCACATAATACAACATCATTGACACATGATTGACACATAAAAAACAACAAGAACACTAACACATGTAGGACCTTCCCAAGTTGGATTGTAAAACCTCTTCATGATGGGGAGTTGAAATATCATCAACAGTACTATATGGTCGACCACTGCACATCTGGCACAACTCGATACATTCCATATCTATGTTTTTCCATGTGTTTCCACTGGCCGTGCCACTGGCCGTGCCACTGGCCCTGCCCATGCGTTCCATCCCGCCAGGTGATGTACCGCATCCAGGACTCCTCGGGTGGGCGATTGACCCTTAAGCCGACTGGTGCCACTCATAGCCTCCACTTCGACGTCACTCGCATGGAAGTGGAAACGACGCTCTTCCTCGTCCCGGACGGGGGGTGGGCCATCCACTTCCCCTATGGATCCACATACCTTCTCAGAAGCTCATTGGACCCTCCTGGCGCCTACATCAATAGTCTCCAATCACCATACCTCAGAAGGAGATCCATAGGGGAAGGGTTCCATGGAATCCATAGGGGAAGGGTTCCATACTTCTGTGGATCCATAGGCTTTCATGGAACGTGAATCGAAGTGGATCCACCCACGCGCGATCGCACGCGTTTTTAGCTCCCGCACCAGGCAGCTGATACCGCACCGGCCGTGTGGGTGACTGGGCCGTCCCATGGATCCAAGAGAGAGACCTGGGACCGAACAACCCGAACTGTGGTACATGGCGATGGGATGGGACTCTGGAGGATAGATTTTTCTGCAGTAGCATCCAGGTATTTGTTTGGTGAGTTCATGAAATATATCATCCCCCCAAAACCCTAAGTGGAAGCTTTTCACGAGCAGCCCTCTGCGACCGGAGGACGGCTATGGCTTTGAAGTGGCGACCGTATACTTCTTTCTCCTCATCCCAGTCCCTTGGCGGAGTGAAGACGATGAAGGCCAAGTTCCATGATCTCCGGAGGAGCGGAGCCGAGAGCTCGCGAGGGAGCGTAGAGTAGTAGAGAACTGCCGATGGGCTTGGGAGAAAATCCTCCCCGGCCATTCAGCATGGGGTTCTGAAGTGAGCGGCATGGAGCGGTATTGAGTCAGAGTTTAATATAATATATATATATATCAATCAGATCCTCCAAAGTGTGTTCTCGTGCAGAGGACCACATGGACCCTGAAAGCCACTGGTAGATGAGAATAGTCATGTTACAGGTCTCCATTTTCAGGGTCTATGCTAGTTTGCAAGGAATCTATCCTCCAGGGTATGGTTTTCGTGCAGGCCGATTGATCCAGAAACAGTTCCACTGGCTTGACTGACCGGTTCATGGCGAAAAGCCGACCGACAGACCGGTTGGGAAGATGGTGTTTTTCTGGTGTTTGGGGCGTTGGTTTACTGTCCCTAGGGCTCCAAGTACCTCCTCAGAAGGTATTTGGACCCTCCAAACCCACCCCAAACACCTTCTCAGAGGGTACTTGGATCCTTAGGGTGTATGTGTTTTTTCCAGATTCATCTATATCCCAGACACGACCCATGGGACTGCCATATATGCCGCCCCATTGACCCCCAGTCAACCACCCCAACTGATCGGCATATATGGCAGTCCCATGGGTCGTGTTTGCATATATAGTCTTCTGGTTTGACCAATGGCTGCTTCGTTCGCCTAAAGTTTGTGTTCCAGATTCATCAGTCACTCCATCGCAGACGCTCCGGTCGGGCTCTTCTCGGCACTCCACGCATAGAAAAACGAGGAAAGCATAGCACCGCAGATTCTGAGAACGGATTGGACTGGGCCGCAGCGATTGAGGTCACCTCCTTTTTCCTGCTGAACGTCGCTTTAGCTGTGGTGGATGAAGTGGCAGCCTCAGGGGGGTTGCGCTTCAGCTTGCTTGGATGGTACCAGGCCATATTAGGGGAAAGGTTCCAACACAGCGAAGTACACCCAAAACCGACAAAAGCAATTCCACAGGTTGATCTCATCGAATCAAGTCGAGTTCCACAACTGCACAGGATTCCGCAACTAGTTCCGCAACTATTTGGTCGGATTCCCCAATTGGGATATATTCCGAAACTAAGATTCCGCCACTGGGATTCCGCAACTAGGACTTCGCATCATTTCGCATCCGAATCCGGCTCTAACCCTCATCACTGAATTTACATGTTGAATCATGTTGAATCTCGAAAAGGTTGGATTTCTCTGTCAGTGTCAGACCAGTGTCATCTCGCGAAGCCTTGAGGGGTTGCATTTATACATGACCTGGTTTTGCTTAGGCTTAGGCTATTTTGTTTTTGCTCCTTTAGGTGGTTTTCGTCCAACACGAGTGACCAATTAGTTTTGACACACACTTCACACTACCAATGGCCACCTAGAAAGACATCTGCAAACATGGCCTCCTGAAAGACGTTCCCTGAGACATGGAACATCATGCAACATTTGTACCCTCAGGTGGATCTGAACTGGGAGAGCAGTAGTTCCATGGGACGAATGCTTACTATCGGCTTCAACTGGGTCCTGTTGCATGATGCTACTGAAGTCCATATGAGTCTCATCATGTTGCACGTTGTTGCTTCTTAGATCTTAAAGTACCTGGAAACATCTACGTTGTACTGACAGGTACTGACTGGATTGCCACCAAGCAACATGTGCGACATGGACTGAATTTACCAGCACTCCACCGCATGGGATAGAAAATCGCTGCGTGCGCAATTGTATCGAGGCGCGCGAGGATTTCGCGGAAGAGGCCGGTGCCGTTCGGCGCAACAGAAACCCCACAAAGCAACATCCGCCCGAAGAGTCTTTGGACCTTCTCCACCAGAGCGCAGAGGATCCAGACCGGATTCGAAGAAAAAGACCTTGTTACTGGCGAAGGGTCCGGATTTTGAGGGACGGTGAAGCTTGAACACCCCATTGTTTTGCGCAGTCTAATGGGTTCCAACGTTATATATGATTTTGTTGTATGCATAGACACCCCAAAGGGGGAGGTGTCATTGAGTTTGATTTGAATAATATTGTATTTTGATGTATTTTGCGGGCGCTCTAACCGTAACCACTTGTTGGTCTGGCTTTGGCATATGTTTTCCGTCTCGCGCAGTGGGTATGTATTGAGGAAGCCTCCCAAACCAATGCGCTTCAGTTCATGTGTCCTTCCCGTGGGGGAGTCCCTACTCTAAGAAACAACCTTTTGTTATTTCACCAACGCCTAATCTGGTCAAGTACTTCCTTCATGCAGTCCAAAATGCATCAAGATGCCACATGTTTAAGCAAGATTTTAGCTAGCAGTAGTAGTAGTAGTAGTAGTAGTAGTAGTAGTAGTAGTAGTAGTAGTAGTAGTCAGTAGTAGTCGTAGTCGTAGTCGTAGTCGTAGTCGTAGTCGTAGTAGTAGTAGTAGTAGTAGTAGTAGTAGTAGTAGTAGTAGTAGCGGGTGTGCAAGATCTAGGACTCTACTAACATGTACTAACTACGTATACATCTACATACATCATCATACATCTACCTATATATATATATCATTACAAATTGTAATCCTTCTATCTCCTCCGCCCTCGGGCCCAAGCGCAAGCCGTTCTCTCGTCGCCGCTTTTCGCCGTTTCAGGCGGCAGATGAAGCGTTGGAGGAGGAGTTGAAGTTGGCACAGGAGGCCAAGTAGCACTACTACAAAGTCTAAAGACATATAGTCTACTTATATTCTTCTTTGTTCCGATACAGATACAGTTACGCACTCACATTTGAACACGTCACTTCTTCTCAGAAGGTGAGCAATTGCTGCATTAGGACTTCTATGTTTGTGTATTGTGGTCAATGGATAGACTATAGAAACGCTTCCAGACATTCTTAGTGGGAATCTACTTTTCTATCTATTTGGGTGTCTATACTTGATATACAATTCCCAATTCCAGATCCCCCTAAGATAGATAGAAACACCAGAATCAAGTATAGACACCCAAAGATGAGATCCCCCAAGATCTATATTCCCTTCGGTATCCAATTCCAGATCCCCGGAAGGTCGATGAGAGCGAGCTGACGTTGGGGTCGCCCAGCGCGATGCGGGCGTTGAGTATCGTTGAGTAGAAGTCCGGATCGACAATGGACCTTATTTGTTCAAGCTGAAAAAACGAAGAAGTCCTTAAAATCGGTCTTGCAGAAGCAGTTGTTGATTTCAACGATAAACACCCCTGTGTGGCAGGATTGTTTTCTTGTTCAAAACCGCCAAGTTGTAAAACCATTATTGCCAGCAAGGGCCGTCATTCTTTCCCTGAAAGAGCTGTCATGTTCACCAGTTTGGGGCATGTTGTCCGCCTTCCTGTGCCCGAAACTTGTACTTGATCGTCCACTGAAACTTGATTGAACCCCTAGGGAACTACCTTCTTCCAAGCTGTTGCAAGGAGAGTTGTTCATCGGCCCTAGGATATCCCACAGTGCCATTCAGTTCGTGCCGAACTGAACCATTCCCACACCCCTTGGTTGAGGTGTCTGACAAAAACTATCACAAGATGAACTGAAAGCCTCTTGCAACGTGTGGGATTCGCATCCAGTTCTATGCAATGGTCAGGATTCGAGATCAGAACTCTCTCCAATCAGCTGAAGATAGAGAGGGTGTTTTGACAAAACAAACAAAGCCTTTTGGAAGCTTGATCGAGGTCCAGTTTCCCAGGAAGATCCCATAAATTTTGGACTTCACAATCACAATGTGCAAAACTGCAGCAGCAGATGAATCAAACTGGCCATGAATCGCCCTGCTGCGCTGTTCTTTTGGACACTGGCGGGTTCCAACGGCCAACATTCTCACCCATTAGACCAGTCCCAACGTTAAAAACCCGCTTTGACCAATCCCAGACCAGGATCATATTCTTTTCAACAAACCAGCTGCGCCACCGGACACGGGGTCACCTGGCTGGATATCTTAACACTACGGAGTCACAGGTCTCCCTGTCCAGGGCACGTCCCATTCGTCGCAGGCACCACTCCTCTCGGCCCCGGCCTAGTGGACGTGGCTGGATGGGCCACTTGGACAGAGAGGGAGGGGTGAGTCGGAAGTGTGGATGTCATGCACCTGAAAGGATGAGGGTTTTCCCTACGAATCACAGGGTGAAACAACATGAACCAACCACTGGTGAGTTCGTTGCAAGGGCGAAAGGAGTCCTGGCAGTCCAACGTTTAGAGGATCAGCTGTGAGGATCAGCCTCATCCGGAAGGCTCTCAAGTCTCATCCGGAAGCTTTGTTTATGTTCTTTCATGACCCTTTTGCACCACACTCTTGGTTTGTCAGAGACTTTACAGCTTGGCCTTAGCTGCTCGGTGGGTCGGCAGACAGCTGAGAAGCAAGTTCAGATTTTATCAGGGTCCTACCAATTTGGGCTGCTCGCCAAAGCCGGAGCCTTTGCCAAACACTCAATGTATGACTGATTTGCCTTCTTTGACCCTGAGCAATTTCCAGTTTCTTGGACCGAGCAAGAATTCATGCAACCTCTAGTTTGATGTCTTTTGCATATTGGCTTCCTATCAGAACAGGGGGTCAGGTCGTCCAAAAACAGCCAGGGTCCCTCCTCCGTGCCCGGCGCTGGTGCTTCGTTCGCTCTCAGCAGGTTCCCTGGTCGGTGCCGCAGAGGACCGGGAGACGAGACGAGTTCCTTGGTCCAGACATGTCGAGCTGGGCTCCAAGCTCGAGCTTCTCTAGCTGTGACATGCTGTTGACCTCGAGCGCCTGTGAGTGACCTCGTTCGAATCCGACCAGTCGACACGCGCCAGGACATGACACGCGCGATGTCCAAGGCATTGGACGTCGAGCAATCCGAGGAGGAGGAGGACCGGACCAGTCCGCGGAGCTGCGGGGTGTCCGGCGGAGCTGCGGAAAGGGGTATAGACCATTTGATAAGTTAAGTCCCCATATATAGACCCTAGGGATCCACTGCCACCCTCTGAGATACGGTGATGTGTTCGACACTGGTATGTAGGGGCCATTGTCGGGTCCAGTCGTAGCGAACCTGAGAAGGTACGCTAAACAGATAGAAACGCTTTCCAATAGCATTCCGAAGTGGGGAATCTTTCATGATCGTTCCAACGCTCTCTCTCTCTCTCTGTTGGGGGTCTATCTACACCGACACGACGGCCACAGTTGGATCGACGGTCACATCGGTCAGACGGTTCCGAAGGACAGCGAAGCCGTTGGGCTTCAGCTGGGGAGCATCGTAGGGCACGGTCCAGCGAGGAGGGGGGCCATGACACCAGCTCAACGCCAAAAACATTGCTATACTGTACTCTGGTTTCAGGGACTAAAACATGAGCCTTGGCTCTTGAAATGATGGAATTATTGATTGCATATATACAGTCATTCGGGTGGTTAAAATGGGGCCAATAGTAGCCCTACAAGTCAGTTTGACCTTATGACATCGCAGAGTTGATCCTACAAAAGCACGTCAGACTGGACCTGTAGGATGGAATAGGTATATAATTGGTATATATACATATATTCCATCCATGGAGTGTTTGGGTATCGTTCGGACGTCTCCTCGACCCGATCCCCAGGCACTTTGGTGGGACTCTCCCATCGTCCGGGGCTCCAGACCGAATCAACTGGTCAAACTGGATTGAAGACTCCACCGGCGTGCTTGTACTGGTTGTACAGGTGAAGAAAATTGTCATAATTGTCATCATCATCGTCGTCGTTGTCGTCGTCGTCGTCCTCGTCCTCGTCCTCGTCGTCGTCCTCCTCATCATCATAATCATAATCATGATTATCATCATCATCATCGTCGTCGTCGTCGTCGTCATCATCATCATCATCATTGTCGTCATCATCATCATCATCATTTACAATCGTCCTAGAGTATATAAATATATATTATATATAAATATGACTCAACCAATCCAACAACATATAAACACATGACATGGCATGACCAAGTTCCTATGGTTTGGATGTTCCATGAATTTCATTGATTTTGTCCATAAATTTCCCATATTCTATCCACTCCAGGATGACCTATAGACCAGTGAACATGCGGAGCTTGTATAGCTCTTGTGTTGTTGGTCTACCCTTTGGTTGGGGTTCTCCCTACTAAACATATCACACCCATTTGACCTGGACTCTGGGTGTTTGTTCGAAGGAAGACCGACCTTCGAACTGGTATCAGAGCTGGAATCTGTAGGGTTGATTTTGATGGACCACAGATGGGAACCATCAGATGGGATCTGTGGTGCATCAGATGGGAACCGAGTGAACCGACTAATTCAGAATTGTCTTGCACAAGTGAGGCAAGTGAGAGACAGTGAGACCAACTCAGAGTCGCTTTTCTTTGAGGTCCGTTTCCTGAAAGCCATGGCCACCAACGAGGTGCGTGCGGGCTGTGGAAGACCACACGAGAACGAGAGAAGCGCGCAAAAGAGTGGGAATTCACGCGGCTGGAGGATGTTGGAAGCAACTGACAAAATACACTGGTTTCAGAAAAGATGGCACAAACCCAAAGATGTCCTTGATGTTGGGGTCCATATAAATCACCTTTTCGGGGATTGTGCCATTTACTCTGAAACCACTGCTAAGTGGTTGCTTGGGCCTGGTCATTTCCGCACTGATGCCTAAACTCGCCCGCAGGACGGCCCGGTCCCAACAGATGTGCTAAAACGATGAAACACAATCCCGTTTAAAATGTCCTCTATGGAATCATTTCGTAATAGCAATTTCAAAGGGGATGAAACACATGTATATGATTGAATCAATAACTCCTTTTGCCACCTTTGGAAGGGTGCAGACTTACCTGCGAATTTCTTCTGTCTTTAGCCACCCTAAGGCTAAGAATCTGGACCCGAACCAACGGGAAGGCTTTGGTTCGGGTCTGGACCCCCACTATAGAGAGCTGGACCCTGGTCGTGGAGGGCCCAAGGATTCTTAGGGTAGATTGAATTGTCCTTCACAAATTGTTGTGCAAACAGTATAGAGCAGTAGAGTTGGCCCACCTGCTTGAATGTGTCTGAATCTGGAGATCTTTCCAGGTCTACCCTTTTCCCGACACCCTGGTCGTTGTCTCACATGTATATGAATGAAACCTTCACTTCGACGCTTCAGGGTAGAAGAAATGGACCCCATCCAACATCTGGTGTCATCTGGTCACCTTCAACGAAACATCTGGTTCCACCATGTTCCACCTCCGTCCCCGTCCCCGTCCTTCGGCTCCACTGCGACCTGACTCCCCCGGTCCCGGGGAACCCGCACCGGTCGTCGGCGAAGCGCCGGTCCCGTGCCACCTGCGAGGACCGAGCGACACGTCCCGGGCCGTAGGACGGACGTGTCCTTGTTGCTTCGTCCAGCTATTGGTGCCCATTCGTGGTGCCTCTTCCGGTCCACAGCCCATTCACCGCCACCCGCGGAGCGGGCGCGAGGTGTTCACAAGCGTGATCATGTGCTTCATCGCTGCCAATGCCTGGCACCCAAACCGATGCCGAGCGAGTGGGGGAGCGGAGCGGAGCGAGAAGTTGGAGCGTTTCTGAAAGGTGTGAAGACGGAAGGAATACAAACATGCTCATGACATCCGTTTGTGATTATATTAGGAATAGAAGCCCAGAGAAGCCCTACTATACTCTCTATGTTTGGCCGAGACTTGTGAATGTACTCATACCAAAGGACTGGGTCCCTATGTAGGGTGCGATGGGTTTAGTGAACTTCATAGACATTTGTGCTTGACCGGCGACTGGCCAGTCCCATGGCCAGTTTCAACCCGGATGAAGGTCTGTCAAGCTTCTTGACGAGCATGGAGCTCCTCGTTTGTGTAAATCAAAACGCATCTGATTTCCATTTTCGTCACTTCGTCTGGGTTGGCAGATTGTTAGTCAGGTCATTGTGTGTTATATTGAATAGTGGTTTCCTCATGTTTCCTCAGGGTGCGGGTTGGTTGCGGAGTCCCACGCACAAGGCCTGGCCAAAATATGTATGCAATATCAATTTCGACACGTTTGCGCGTGTTCAGAATGCCAGCGTCAGCCTCAAGATGTCCTAAGAACAAGAAAACAAGCATACTGGGCCTTTAGGGTCAGCAAGCATCGCCGAACATGTAACAGCATGTATGATTATGGCCATATCAACTAATTACTTTGTTTTCATCGTTACTTGACACAGCAAATTGCTAACTGCATATGTTTGGTCTCGGGCGTCTCCCCTGTCAGGAGGCCTTGATTGGCCGTCGGACAGTTGCAACACGTTGACTCAGAGACAGCATACCTAACTTGGTGGGGAATGCCTGTGGATGGTGGAACATATACCTGATCAAAGCATCGTTGCATGGTGAATCATTTCCAATATAGATAATGTTATGTGTAAGGCATGTCGAACTAAATGTAGACATCTAGTAATTAATACCAACACCATCGCTACTAGGAGCAAGGACGCTACTAGGGGCGCCCCAGAAACTATTTGAGGGGGATCCGGATCGTCACCTCGTTGTTTGTCGCAGTGTAGTGAGTAATGTCCATGACCTGCTACTCCACTCAGAACTAACTCGTAACCAGTTGGTGACTTGTCGTTTCAAGTGGCTATGCATGCCTTAAGTGAAAAGAGGCAGGCATTGGACAAATCAAAGGTGGAGGAAGTAAGGCGCGGAGCCATGAGAGCTGGAGCATTTGGTCAGATTGAAGCCAAGAAGAACAGAAAGCAACTAAAGCCAAGACTTCCTTTCAAGCCTCCGGCTAAGCCATCTCCCATCACGAACCTTCGCCGATGGCGCTCACCACGGCCGTCGTGGCCCATGCCACCCGCGCTGCCCACGGCGCGGCGTCGACGGCGCGCAGCCGTGCTGGGTTCAGCAACGACGAGTCAGAGGATGAGTTCCTGGCCTATCGAGTGCATACGCAGAACCTTGAGCTGAGCTATTTGAGGGTGTCTTGAGGGTAGTTTTTGTTCCTTTAAAGGGTGGTAAGATGATTGTAAGAGGTTTTGAGGTTGATGCATTGTTGGATGTGAAGAGACAGATCGATCTCATCCCAAAAAGAGCACTCGGATGACCTGATTTTTGCCCAACCTTGCTTGGCATCAACTCGGATGTCAATGAACATCCCACCATGCAAGTTCCCACTAGAACCAGGCTTTTTTGGGAACCCGGTGGTCATTTCCTTCATGCCTAGATGGGTTTTGTTTCGTCTACCTTCGGAACTTGCTCCGGGCTGGCTCTTCCAGGATCCAGTGGGCCCGGTCTCGTTCACTCAGATCAAGCATGGGGGACGAACGCGGGGGGGACGAACGCAGGGGGTGGTTCAGGACATGTGGAGACGAGAGACTCGCAATTAGGGATTTTTGTTGGGGTGCGGGGAGCTGGTCAAGTAGCCAAAGGTTCACTGTTTTCTTTTCTTTTCTGACACCAGCGACCTCCATGAACTGGCCCAGCAAATTCCCAGGAAGCCCTTCGACACTACGCTGTGCGCCACCACTTGCGGTGGGCTGGTGGTGATCTTCACTGGTTTGGCCTTCCTCATTGCCGCCATCGCCAACTCCCGCATTGAGAATGCGGCTTAGCTCAGCTTTAACAAGCTTGACTACAAGCTTTGTCCCATGTATATTGTCATAGCCTCTGGGATGTTCACAGGGGAGGTGTATCACGTTCGGACCCAGGCAGCCGAGAGCAGAGAGAGCGGAGTCGACTCAGAGTCTACCCTGCCTTTCCAGTGAAGAAACTGCCTGCCAGGAATCAAGCACACTCCAAGTGTAGCCGCGTAGCCCCCAACAAGAGGTCTTATAGAAGTAATTCCGGGTGTCCATGGACTCCGACCATGCATTGTGGGAGTCTTTTTGCGGGACAGGGCAGATGGTTGGTGTGACCACACTGGAGCAGTAGGTCTTCGGACACTGATTCCGATTCCTTTGGAGTTTCAGGAGTGGATCGCCCTGGCCAAATAGGTCACGTCTCCACCAGTTGGAACTGAACGAGATGGTCCATCCATACCAGGACCATCCTGTTTGGGTGTCCTGGCTGGACTACCCAACTAACAATGCTTAGGGATCTCCGAACAGGACACCCATTGGATGGTCCAGGTACTCTAGAAGAGTTTTTCTTGTGACATTGACATGGTGACATGGGGCTTATCAATCATGCGACCAGTCTGTCCTTACTTATTGTTTTCTCAGTCCAATGTTCCATGGGTTTTGGTCAAGACTACAGACTCCTGATCTCATCGTAGCTTGTTTATATATTTCCCATTTAGTGTTGCTTTTGACTCCAGACCTTGCAGGGAACAAACATTGTCCGCCAGTAGCTATAGTATAGAAGTTGGTTTGCGCAGATCAAGGCTAAGGGATAACATGTTACAACTAGTTCCAGAAGATCCATGTAAGTAAAAGGAGGCTACATCCACCACCCAAAAACACCAAATGTAGGCAATATGTTCTTACATGGATCATTTGGGATATATAAACAGTGAAGCTAGTAGTGAAGCTATTAAGTTAAGCTATGAGGTCTTAAAGCACTGATCTTCAGATCCAGTTCTTCCTTCGACTCTCCGGATCCATCGACTCGGTTCGGACCGATGGAGACAGAATGGACCTGACCACATGGCCGAGCGCGAACGACGCGGTTTTTGGAACGCGAAGGAAGAACGGCAAACAGGACAGAACGCGACGGCGACGGCCTGGTTTTGCGATGTTTTGTGTATATCAGGTGATGTGTGGATTTTCCCTATAGGGGTGAGTGAATCCCTTCTGAAGATTCTTTTTCCCGGCTCCTTCAGCAAATCCGAGATCAGGTGGAGGATTATTCTCATGATGTGCGCGAATGGCAAGAGTATGATCGACCCTTGCTGCAAGAGACGACCATCAACATGTCGGCTGCTCGGCGCTCAGCTCAAACGATGGTAGAAGACGGGGGAAGAAGCACTTCCTTCACAATGCGTTTCTCCGTCACCTCCCGTGTTCACACAAAGCAACAAATACCATTTGTGTCAGCAGAGCTTTCTGACGGTCATCAGCGCAGCTTTCGCAAAGACAATTCTGTGTGGTTCCTATGCATCGGATTCAACATAATGTTGTCCCAACCAGACCAGGTTGTTTCGAAAGACCAGACTGCCCGCACTGCCTGTTCGAAAGACAGATATCTGTGGCATTCTGTGGGGGTAAGGATTGAAATTTTGAACCAGAGAGGGTGATTCATGCTGACATGGTTTTCAGCATGACTTTCTCCAAGCTTTTGGGGAGTGTCAACAGATCCTGGCAGTACAAGCGTTTTGATTGCCGTAACTTGGCAGGTGTTTTTCAATGTTTTTCAATCAACAGATATTGATGTTGACCCAGCCTTCTTTGCTGAGAGGTATCCTTTTCTTGGATTTTGATTGAATTGGAGGTAGGCTTGGCCGAGCTCCCTTGGGGCACCATCATGGGGTCCCAAAGAGTCTCAGAGAGTTCAACAGGCAAGGCAATACAACGTGATACAGGCGATTAAAGTCAGTTGATGGGTGAGTTGTTACTCTTTAGCGGAGTCGACGACCACCGTCCTGCTGTCAAAGTGCACCAACATTGGAGCTGCTGTACTTGTTATGCTTATGCTGTCAAAATTAACTCATGATGAGTCGTGCTTTTGTATGCTTTTGTTATGGTCGGAAACCTCTATATATATAATATATGAAAGGGAAGAAAGACAAAATGCCTCCATTGTTGCAGTTCAAACACTGCTAGTACTACTAATCTTCCAAGGGACCCTGGACCCTTCCGAGTTGTTGGGTCCAACGAGACCGGACTTTGGCTTGTTGGGTCCAGGCACAACGGCTGAATCAGATGGGTTGGCTGGACTGTTGGAATCAGAGGTCGAAAACATGGATCCACTGAAAATTTATACAGAAAATAGCTGGACCATCCTGTTTGGGTGTCAAACAAACCGTAGTAGTGTAGGGGATAGTCCAGCCACACCCAGACAGGATGGTCCCGGTATATCAATCAATATCAATATCAATCAATATATGATTCTCCAAATAATGAAGGCAGACAGATGGATTCCAGTCCCTCTCAAACGCCCTAGGTGGACTCAGGTGGACCTGCCTTCTCTGCCTTAGCCTTAGGTGGACCTGCCAAGTTGGCGTGGCTCGGGAAGGTTCACGGGTGAGCTGATGTCCTCAAGCGAGGAAGGTTGGGAGTTTCACGACACGGAGGACATGGAGGGCTTGGAGCAGTACCAACCTTTGAAGAAGGTCATCGAGCTGGAAATCCCTTGCCTCTATCCCAACTGCTCCATGGTCGCTCGGCCCGCCTGACGTGGGCAGGGCAGGGCAGAAACACTGGTCCGCTGGCCCGGTCCAACACCAGGCAGGTGAACCGCTCGGTCTCCTGGTGTCATGACCCAGATCCAAATATATCCAGATGGATGGGCTCCACCGAAATCGGTAGGCCTGCATAGCTTGTTCAGGCCTGGCCGTCACCCCCAAAGATGGTTGGGAAGCACTGGACCAGA